AAGAAAGAGAAAACTATCAGTAAAGCTCTCCTATAACAAGCCTATATTACCTCCTTTAAAACGTATTCCACAAAAGAGAGAAAACTCTGCAGTAAAGCTTCACTTCAACAAAAATCGAATTAGCATTTCATGTAAGAAGACATACAGTAAAGTTCCCCTATAATGACTTAATATTGACTATCTTTGCAAAAGCATGTATCAATCAAGTTTTTTAAAAGTTTCTAAAATTTTCAATTGAATTTGAATTCCCTCAATGCCACTATAGCCCGCTATCACTGTACTCAGTACAAGATTAATGTATGCTGAGATAAACTTGAAAGAGCTCATAGACGTAATTGAATACTCTCGGCGTACACTCAAAGTAGTTGAAGTGTGAATAGCTGAGAGTGGAACAAGTCAGCTGCATTGTCTCTAGGCCCCGAATACTCTGATCGGCCAGACTCGGAAAGAGAAGCTGAGCAGAGGTTTAGCTGGAATTCAAGTTCGCATCAGCTCGACATCTCTGGGGCGGCTACGTAGCTACGCATCTGTTTGTTGACCCGCTGCGTCGCCATAAAACCCAGCAGACTCATCTAGCCGGTAGTGGGAAGTTGCCGTATGGCTTTGGCTTCACTTCAGGGCCAAGCGGGGCTTACGAGTTTCCCATTAGCGTCAACGTACGCGCTGTAGGTCAGTCGAGGCACATGATATTTATTATTATTCGCATATTCATTATCCGAATTAGTCATTAAATTGTCTTTAGCTCGTCTGTTGACAAATCTCTTTAGCGCTCAGCCAACTCGTCCCAGAACAGTCCCCAGCTCTGTCTTTGGCTCGAATAGCAGCGGCTCTGTTCAGGAAGACAAATATTTAATATTTCTTTTGCTTTCTTGACTAATTTGACTACCTAGATTTTGGCAGATAAAAAGCTAACATTTCGTATAGATGGGAGGTAAGTTTACTTTAGGATATCTTGCAAATATATATCTTATGAGCGAATGATGCTACTAAAGCCGAACCCATGAAATATTTGACAAGTTTTCCGAGTCTCTAAGTAAAGTTTGCTGAAAGGGGAAACTTTTAATTAAAATATAAAACTGAATTTAGATATATATATGCGCTAGATCACAAATCTCTAATATTTGAGATGGTGCTTGTTGCGAATTTGGAGAACAGGGATTGGATCTGGAAACCGGTATCCAAAATATAAGGAAAACATAACAGTATAAATATACATGAATCTATATGCACTATAGTCTGAAGACTCTAGCCCCCAAGATGAATGAGATATCATTTTATAACTGATTTTTCTATGAGACTTTTTCATATATATAATTCTTATAGTATATTTAGTGCAAAATAGTTTTGGGTTTTATTTCGACAAAAATCTTGAAACCTCTTAAAGACTAAATGGACAAGGAAATGAAAGCAGTGAGTAGGAACATTGTTATATAAGGCACTTAATCGATAACGATGCTTATCGATCAATCTTGATATACATGAGCTATACTGGAACATCGATTTTAGAATCTTTTTGTAGATCTCTGTGTGGCAGATCGATCGAGGGTATCTCGAAATCGAGCAGTCTTGGCTAGAGCACTCTAACTTGATTTAGTTTGGGGCATTGCTCTTCGCCACGACAGCCAGCTGAGCATAAGTTACGGTAGCTTAATCGTGGTCCGATCGTCTGCATAGTTGTCTACTGCTCAACGTTTTTGGTAATACAGGTCTCGAGTAAATTTATTAAGCTGTTTGTAAAAATCTAGCAGGAAATACATATGAGAAAAAGCTAAGATAAAAGTCTGTTTTGAAGCTGGCCTAAAATATGCTAGATACTGCATAGTCAAAAGATATTGAAACCAAATTCAAATGAGCTAAAATGAATTAACATAATTTGTTCTGTTCTTGAACAAATTAATTAAAATCATATAAAAATGTTGAATTTATTTCTGTTATTCATAACTGATTAGATTATTCAGTTTATAACAATAAAAATCGATGGTTGTTTTTTTCTCGAGAATCTTAAAAACAGCCAACAAATGATTATAAACAAATATATGTACGTACATATAAATGTAAACATACATATATCTCATTATTAGACAAACTCTTGGAAAACTTGAAATATCATCTTTAGAACGATCAAAACTAATATGAAATATAATATACAAAAAAAAAAAAAGCAGCAGAAGAAGAAGAGCTAATTAGTTGACGTCATAGAATCGGCTCATCAGCGAACGGGTTTTTTTCTGATATCTAAAATTGTGTGCTTATCAATTTGATTTAAATTAGTTTTGTACATTTTTGAGGACTTTTGAGCTGGCAACTAGAGAACTACACTGAGCGAAATGTCAGCTGCAACAACAACAGCAATTGGGTCAAAGCTGGCAAAACTTTCGCCAGGAGGAGAGAACGAGTGAGGGAGAGAGAGAGAGTGAGCGGGCAGAGCACAGTGTTGTTGTTGTTTTTTTTTTTTTTTTTTTT